TTTAGAAAAAAGATTAGTGGTGCAACTAAAGATAGTGTGACAAAATCTCTTCCACTAAGTGTTGTTGTTATTGTATCAAATTGTCCAAGTATTTCAACAAGTTTTATAAATAATAATTTATGTAATTTTTTTCCATCTTTTTTAGTTTCAAGGTCATTTTCCAGCATCATATTGGCTTGTAAAAGGATGATGGCTTTTTTGAGAACTAACAACCTCTCACCCATGAATTATAAGTACTGTTCCAGCATGTAGCTACATCATATATTGATCTTAATTTTTCTGGATAATCTTCACTTAATCTTTGTTGTTGTCTAAACAGTGCCTCCAACTGTTTTGGGAGTTGAAAAATAACACAAGTCTTCTCACCCTTAAAACTAATGCTTTAATATTATCATCACAGTTAAGTGCTTTTTTAATACAAAGTTGTAATGTATGAGCTGCACAAGAAATTCTTTCAATATTTAATGCTTCTTTTAATAATCTAGGACCTGATACCATATTTCTGCCATTATCAGTTGTAATAGCAGTGATTTTTCCTTCTAAGATATTTCTTCCACTAGTAAATTTTTTGTAATTAAGCTTGTGTGTGGATGGGGAACATGAAATAAATTTAAAAGTGCCTCAATTGGTTCAAAGTCTTCAGAGAGCCAGGAACAAGTTATACCCATATATCCTTTTTTTTGGTGTGAAACGGTCCAAAAATCCATGGTCAAAGAAGCAAATTGACAGGTATTGAAACGTTTGCTTTGAATTTCATCAAATGAAATATTATACAAATGTGTTATTGATTCTTTAATTTCGGAATTTTGAATTGGGGATTTAGAAAGTAAATGAATTTTTGAAAATTGTGACTTTTCAAAACATAAGAATTCAATTAGATTTTTTTAGAATGAAGTTGATTTGAGCTTCAATTAGTGGTGTGTTAGTTGTGTTTGATTGAATCATCTCCATATTCGCATTTACAAACTAGATAAAGAGAGTGTGATAAATATTCTACCTAATCAATTTAACCATAAATATCTTATCTGCAGTTTTTGGATTCACTATACCATGATGACTTAATAAATGGTAAATAGTATTGGTGGTAGATCCTTTTGTAGTTGTGCTAGGAAAATATTGACCACAAATATCTCCATTTTCTTTAGTAACAATACATTTCCATCCATGTGGTCTTAGGTCTTCACAGTAATTCCAAATAAAGCTTCTTTTATTTGAGTGTACAGTACTATAAGTAGAAGCTAATGAATTGATTTCAGCTGATTCAGATGACTCATTAATATTAGTGGTAGTAGTAAATGGATCATCCTCTCCAATGTAATATGATGACATTTTTTAAATTTTGATGTATAAAATTCGCGATTTATCTTTCCCTAATTATAATATTTATAATATTTTTTAGAAATGTTGAAAACACCTTCATTTTATAACAATTTTAAAGATGAGACTAAAAATAAAAAAATCCTTTGTGTAAAAGATGCTTTACCACTGCAGGATAATTGATAATTTATTTCTCTATTGTCAAAAGTCTTTTTTTGAAAATCTAAAGATACTTGTCACTACTAAAAAACGGAATTGATTTCTTTGTCAAAAAAAAGCCAACATGTCTTTTTGAAAGAGTAAAGATATTCGATTGCTACAGAATTGATTTCTCCATCAAAAAAAAAGCCAACATATCTTTTTTGAAAGAGTAAAGACACTTAATCACCACTAAAAAAACAAGATAATTATTGTTTCTTTATTGTTAAGTTTTTTGGAAAATTTAAAGATAAAAAATAGTACAATGCTATATTAATCGAAATAACAAAACAGATTCTGTAATAGGGTAGATAAGTGCATCTTAATTTCCTTGAATGTAAAATAAAATTTTTTTTGAACGTTATTAAATGTGTGTCTTTTCCTTTTTTAGTAAGATCAACTATGATATTCATGATACTCGAATATCAGTCACATGAATGATATTCATGATATTCGAATATCAGTCACATGAATGATATTCATGATATTCGAATATCAGTCACATGAATGATATTCGGACAATGTCCGAGTAATTCCGAATGAATACAAACGCTAATTATCAACACATGATTTCTTAGTCTTTGAACGTGTAATTTTACCCACGAATTGGTATTAGCCAAACGGTTGATAAAAAAATGTCCCAAATAATGTACTTTATGAATCAATGAATGCTTCAAGAACTTGTGAACGGTATCTATAATGAAACACATGAATGGATGTTGCGGAGTTCTCAATATTCTTTATTATTATATGAATAAACGTAAAAGAATATAGTCCAAACAGTCAATCAGTATTTTCTCAAAATTTAGGGGGCAAATGTAATTCACTATTAAAATTTTGTTGTACCACACAATTTTTACTATATACAGTCATACCTCTTTTATATCCCCACCCATTTATATCCCCTCTTAGTCTCATCCTCGTTTATATCCCACATCTGAACAGTTAAAAATGTCCTTATTCTATATGTTCTATATACTCAGTTATATCCCATCTCAGTTATATCCCCACAAAATTTGAAAAACATATGAAAAAAAAAGGGGGGATATAAAAGAGGTATGACTGTACATGAAAAATTCAAAACCCCCTCCGAGGCTTTAATTTAGTATTAGAGTCTATACAGGTTCCGTATTCCGTATATCTGCGCCTCTGTAGTAAATAATGCTCTGTATGGAACAAAATATGGAATTGAAGATCGTACAGACTGGCTCCCACCAATCAACTTTTCAGAATTCACAAATTCCGTACAAAGAATAGTGTTCGGAATCTCTACTGGTTGTGTCGACAATTTTAGTTCATGTTTTTCATTATAAAGTTTTCAATATATATTAATTGTAAGGAAAAAATAAATGCTTCATAGTAAATTTGATAATTTTTCTAATGAAACAACTCTGCCATTAATAATAACAGCAATAGAGTATTAAATTCTCGATAAAGCGCATAAAAAATTATTATGTAAGATGAAAAAGCTATATTAGGTGAAAAAAAAAGGATTTTGATTTTTAGTGTTGTTACACATAAAATTATACTAGAAATAATAGAGGAAGTAATTTTATCTGCCATTACTATGAAAAACTAATTTCGGCATTTTAGTTTCAGATCCGGCAATGATTGTCCGTAATTTCGGCTAATACTAATATTAATATTCTATGATTAGAATTAGTTAGCAAATTAGTATTAATGGCATTTTGAAATTGCTCTTTTTGATGCTATAAATTTTATTTTATTGAATAATAGTTATTAATAATGAAGAGTATGAAATTATTAATATAGTATTTTTGTGTGTGTACATTTAATCGATTAATGGATTTCATCATATGTCATCCTGCAAGGTACGCATTTATGATCAAAATAAAAAAATAAAATTGAATAAATTAAATTCATAGAATGGTTAAAGGTTTAGCAAAGTGACATCACATTCTTAACTATCATAGTTGTGTCACAAATAGAAATGCAAATAAAAAATTCGGTAAAACCAAATCTTCCTATATTTCTCCGGCCCTGCTATTGATTGTCAACAACAATCAATTCTCTAAAAATGTTTATAAAAAAATTTATTGTTAGATCCTTTTTTACTCTTTTTAGAAAGCCAAGGCTTAAAAAATAATAAATACACACACAATACATGATAAAAATTTTCAATAATTCAAAATCTTTTAAAGCAATATAATTGTTTTAGATTTTCTTGGATATTTTAGATATTTTGATAATATATAATTTAGTTAGTAGTTTTTTATATTATATTTTTTCTTTAATAGTTAAAAAAGCAACAACCATTCTATGATCTTGAAATTTAGAATTGGAATTCAAACATTTTTATTTAGGACATTCTCATAAGACATTTTAATGAATTTATGATATTAATAATATTCTAATAATGATAAATCTTTCTGATCAATATAATCACACCACCACAAGTTCTTCTTTTTCTTTACATTTTAGCCCTTCAAAAAAAACAATACCTTTAAAAAATTACTTATCCGATTCCTTTTCGTCACTTTTCCGTCATGATTGGACACTTTATGACCTACAATATTTATTCTTGTTGATATTAGGGATTTTTCTATTTTACATTGTGGAAACTCCTGGCATAATGATAAAAAGTTTATTAGTGTTGTTATTGTTTATAGGATTATGTTACTCAACAGTGACGAGATCTTTTTTACGGCCATTTTTACCAGTGGTCATTTGGCTGATATTATTTTATTCATGTAGGTTCATTCCAGCAACCAAACGACCTCACATATATGTATCAGTCTTACCAGCTTTAGAAAATATTATATATGGTGACAATGTATCAGTTATTATAGCAAAAAACACAAACATTGCAAAAGATTTATTGGCTTGGATACCTTATGGCATTTTACATTTTTCATTACCTTTTCTAACAAGCTTGGGAATTTGGTTAGTTGGCATTAAAGGTATTGGTATTAAAGGTGTTTTGCCAGTATTTAGTAGGGCTTTTGGATATATGAATATAGCAGGTGTTTTAACTCAATTGATTTTTCCTTGCTCGCCACCATGTAAGTTTTTTTTTTTAAAACGAAAATAATTTTCTCAATAAGGAATGATTCCCAATAAGACAATTAATTAATTTTGATTTTTTTTTAAAAAACAAAAAAAAAAAATAAAAAATAAGGGTATGAATATGCTTATGGAATAGATACACCAGCTTCTTATTCAATTCCAGGTGAGGCAGGTGGATTAAAACGTATAGATAAACTATTTAATTCCACCACTTATGAAAAGGCATTTTCGGGCTCGCCTATGGTTTTTGGAGCTTTTCCTTCTTTACATTCAGCTTGTGCTATTTTACAAATTTTATTCATATCTTACACTCTACAACAACACAAATATAATAATCAAATATATTTTATTGGATTTTTATATGTAATATGGATTTGGTGGGCTTGTATGTATTTCACACATCATTACATGGTGGATTTAGTTGGCGGTGGTATTTACGCAATTGCATCTTTCTGGTTCAGTTGGAAATGGTTGCCACAAATTGTCGTTATTGAAGATGAGAATGATCAAAATGAAGTTCAAAGTGATGTTATTAATATTACTATCGGTAATGATAACGATGTTATGGAAAATATTAGGAGCAATAATAAGTTTAACAATAAAAGATGGGAATATGAAGAAGTGCAGAAAAGTTTAGGAAACGATGATAGTAAATTTATAATAACAAATAATATAAATGATAACAATAACGTTCATAATAATATTGATGATAATGATGCATTCATAATAGATAATTATAATAGTAATAGTAAGAATAGGAGCAGGAGCAGGAGCAGGAGTAGCAGTAGGGATAGCAGTAGAGGCAGTAGCAGGAGCAGTAGTAGGAGCAGCAGCAGTAAAAGCAGTGTTGGAAGTAATAGTAGAACTAACTACCGGTAGCCAAGATAATGAAGATGAGGTGATTATTATTTAATTCAAATTTAGGAATTCCAAAGTATAAGAAGAATATAATTATTATATATTATCATTAATTGTGTACATTTATTTAATTATATAATCTGTAAATTGATTTCGATCTTTTTTATTTTGTAAATTTTTTAAATTGTTTATATTTCAATTAAAGACATTTCTTTAACATTTCTTCAAAGATTTTTTCTTTTAAAAAAATGAAATTTAAAAATGGACTTAACAACCCAGGGAATGATAAAAATTCGGGTTGGAAGGTAAAAAACAAAAGCAGTGAAGAAATAATCACAGACTGGAACATTGAATATGTGATAGATGGAGAAGATAAAGAAGAACTCAGTTTTTCAGAGTAGAAGTAAAAAATACATGATGATATATTTTTAATGAGTTAAAAAAATTATCAATCTAAATATATTGAATACGAATTACCATTATTTTATTTTTTATTATATATATATATATATATATATCTATATTTATATGGTTATGATGGAAAAAGAAACAACAGATAAGATATTCAATAAAGAAGAACCATCAAAGTATCTTATGTATATTTATTAACATCATCATCACCTTCACTTCCATCATCATCATCATCACCATCACCACCATCGTCACAATCACCATCTGAATATCTCCAAGTACCACTTTTCCCACCAGTTTTCTCGATCACACGTAAATTATTTATGACCATTGATTTACTTGCTGCTTTACACATATCAAAAATAGTTAATGCAGCAACGCTGACAGCCATCAAAGCCTCCATTTCTACGCCGGTTTTACCTTCTGAGACCACCTTTGAGGTAATGTTGATCGAGTAATCATTTTCTTGTAATTGAAAATCGACAGAGATGTGAGAGAGTAAAAGAGGATGACACAGTGGTATGAGATGACCGGTTTGTTTAGCAGCATTGATACCAGCAATCTGTGATACAGTGAGAACGTCACCTTTTTTTATGGAATGATTTTCACGAACAAGATTAAATACTTTACGACCAACACATATTTTGCCAGAGGCGGTTGCTGTACGATTTGTTGATGGTTTCTCGGATACATTGACCATCAACGCACGCCCGCTGCTCATTTCAACATGCGTAAGTGTTGGTTTTGAATATTGTTTTCGTGAATTTGAAGACGAAGATGATTTTGTTGAATAAAGACCATTGTTGTTGTTGTTATTGTTGTTATTATGATGATGACGATGATTATGATGATTATGAAAACATGATATAAATGAATTTGAATAGATGATTATAGAATTCAAGATTCTTGGTCTTTGCGTAATCATTATTTTCAAATATTAAAATGGGAACTTACGTAAGCAATTTAATAATTTTGGGAAATTCTTTATAATTTCGGCTAAAAAATTCGATTGCACATATTTCCGTATTTGGTTAGCACCGCACACGGCAGGACCAATATCCTATATACCAACATAAAAAAGTATATTAATATACATACAAACTTCAATCCGAATAAAAAAAATTCTGATGTTTTTTTTGAAAAAAAAAAAATAAGGACAGTTTATTTAGCAGAAAGATTGTTTTTTATCTTTGTCATTGAGATAAATAAATAAATAAATTAAACTTTGAGGTAACGTGATATATTTGCCCTGTGCGCCACCATATTCTCTCACAATATGATCGATTAAAAAAACACAAATACACGTGTGTTGACATCTTGCCAGTTATATTATTGTTTATTATTTATTAGTTTATAACAAAAAAAAACTCATTCATTCACTGATGCTAACGTTTTATAATCTTGGTGGTATATATGAACTACTAAAAATTACTTGGGATGATTTTAAAAAATAATATTAATTAAGACAATTAATCGTTGTGATTGCCAAGAATTGTAGTAATAGGGTGGTGGTGATAGAGATTTTTATAACGCATTATTTTATTTTTTTAATTTTTTTTTTGTTTGTAAAATTTAAAATTTCAATTTTTAATTGAAATATTATTATTTATTAATAATAATAATAAAATTATTATGCGTGCATGTGCATATGTTTATTAATATTAATTTTTTGTAACGAATCACATTGTGTTGATATAATTATCAAAACAAGGATAGATATGCGGAGGGAGAGAGCGAGTATGTGATCGATGTGGTGACGATTTTTTGTGTATATACAATACATGCACGCAAAAGAGAAAAAGAGAAAGAGAGAAAGAAATTCTAAATAACAATTAACATTAAAAAAAATTATTATTTTAATTTAGTTAATTTAGCTAATTAATTAATAATTTTGTTTTATATCCAAAGCAAAACCATTTTTTTTTCGAATTATTATTTGAATTACAATGAAATCGACGCGTTTTATTATTTTACGTCAAACTTATATAGCAAGCCAGCAAAATAAAATTAATACTCTGATCCAAAAAAGGTCTAGCCCAAACCACATATTTGCTGCTGTTATCATCCATTATTAATTAATTTCTTGCTTCTTGCTTTTTTGTTACTGGGTTATACATGGGAATTTGTATTGTAATAATGATAAATCAATATAAATCCAGTAATTCGTTCTTTTTAATTTTTGCCTTCTTTATACACCTTCTTTCCTATTCCCAATTTTTATTTGTTGAAACTTTGTTTTTTATTTATTTTATTTTAATTTATTAACCTAATAAATTCAAATAATAAATAAAAATTTACTTTTTTTTGGGTAAATTTATTTTTTTTTGAAACAATAAAATGATAGGTTCTTTTCCTAGTTACTCTTTTTTTTTAATATACATGGGGCCACCCCACCCACCCACCCACCTTCTTCTTTTTTAAAGATGTAACGAGGGGCGTGATTTTTATACATTGTTAATTGATGAAAATAAATTTTTTTATTACCATTGTATTATATATAATATGTGATTCAATCAATTTGGCTATCTTTCTCAATCTATCTATATAATCTATACAATCTACATAATTTACTATAATAATAAATATAATAATATTTTTCAATAAAATAAACAAACAAATAAAAGCAACCAAAACTCTAGACTCTTTATTTCTTTCACCGATTACTATTATTTTCGTCTTTAATTTAATTTAATTGACACACTCTTTTGAACGATTGCAGCAGTTACATTGCATGTATATTATTTTTTTTTTCTGTTATAGCACAAATAATTCTTAATATCCCATTTTGGTAAATCAAAAATATCAAAAATAAAAAAATTAAATTTGAAACGTCAAAAATTAATTGAAAATGAGATACCTAAAATCAATAATAGATTGCAACGAAACGAAACGAGACGAACAGAAAGGAAAAAGAAAGAAAGGAAAGGAAGAAACTTGATTGAGGAGGATGATGATGATAATGATGTATCTTAGCAAAATAACGTTTAGCATAGAATAAATAAAGTGCAAAAATTATTATATATTATTATATAATATGGATTAATAAATAATTTTGATTAATCTCATCTCACCCATTATTTCCATTTCCTAAAAAAAAATATTTCGTAATATTTTAACTTTGCTCACGTTATTACATAATTATCTAAATATAAGTTATTATTTAATCTAACATCTATTTTTATTTATTTGTTGATAAATAATATAATTAATAATATTGTATAAATAATATACAATAATTTTTAATTGATTGATTAATTAATGAATGACAATGGACTCGTTGTTTGTTATCAATTCATTATTATTATATTAATGACTAAACTCAAAAATTACAAACTTTGATTTATATATCAATTCTCGGTCAGTCAGTTTTTGTTGGATTATTAACTCGCACGCACTCAAAGCTCGCTTTCACTCAATCATACGTTTTACAACAACACCCGATCATCACTTATCAAACTCGCTAATCTAAAACTAATATTAAGAATTTTGTACTTTTGGAAAAAGATAATAATATAAATTATTATTATAAATAAATAAATAAATAAATAATATTAAATTCTATTGTATCACACACAAAATTTTAATTTTTTTTTATAAATTAGTTGAGTGAGGAGGAGGGTTCGAATTAATTTTTATTTTTCAAATCTCTTTTATTTTAATTAATAGTCATTGAATAATAACAACAATAAAATATTGTTTGTATGTATATATATTAAAGCTACATATACACATGACTTGACAGTTATCATATATATACTTTTTTTTTTGTAAAAACAAAAATTCTATTTAATTTAAATTTTCAACAAAAAAAATTTAGAATTATTAATATTGAATATTAATTTTTAATTTCTTATATATAAAGAACTACTCTTTTTTTAAAAAAAAATTCAACTTGCAAAGAAAACAATGAGCTTGTTTATTTTAGATGATATGATTCTAGATGAATCAGGTGAATCGAATGAAAGTAAACGTGTGAAAATTACTACGGCTTGTGATACATGCCGCAGGCGAAAAGTTAAATGCGACGGAGCTTCACCCTGTGCAAATTGTCAAAGAGGAGGTTTTGTATTAGTTATTATTTAATTATTTAATAAAAAATATCAATCCTCCCTTCCTCCCTCTAAAAATAATAACATTACTATCGTTTTTATTATAGGATACCAATGTACGTTCTCTGATGCATCCAACAAACGTCCAAGAGGTCCACCAAAAGGTTTTGTTGCATTGATAGAAGATAGATTACACACGATTGAATCACTTTTAGTAAATCTTGTCAATAAAGATACATCTGATAATCATAATAGAGGGATAAAAAAAGAACATGATCAACAACCATCGACTATGACTCCCACTTCTTCTTCTTCATTTGAAGACATTTCCTCCCCGATGATCGGTCAACGACAAAAATTCTCTACTTTTAAAATACGTCATTATTCTCCATCTACTACAACAAAAGGTACGGCTTCCTCACCATTGACACCTAATAACAATAATGCCAACAATAATGCTAATGATCATCATAATCATTCATTTATACCGTCGAGGTCACCACCGCTGTCAATTGACACCACCGCTACAAACCTGTCAGCATCAGATCAATCTTTAACTTTAAATGAAGATTATTTAGATAGTGATGATGATGGACTATTACGTAGCAATTTAATGTCATTGAACTTCTTAAAAGACTATAACATTACCAACAATAATATTAACAGCAACAGTAATAATAATAATAGTAGTAGTAGTAACATTAACAATAATAGTGATGGTCATCGTTATAGTAAATTCGTATTTGCTACTGATCCATCCTTACCAACAAAATTGCCACATATAAAACAGATCCCATCAGAGATTTCAAATCAATTAATAGACAATTATTTTCTTTATTTTCATCCTTATTTTCCCATAATTGATCAAGATCAATTTTTCAAGCAATTGTCATTATCAAAAAGTAGTGAAAATAATACTAATAATAGTAAAAGTAATAATGATATTAACAATATAGAGGATGAAGATCAACTTTCTCCGCTACTTCTTAATGCTATTTATGCTATTGGTGCCACGTTTCCTCTTCCACACATTGATCCATACAATAAACTAATATTTTATGATCAGGCAAAAAGTAAGTGAAATCAAATCAAACAAAAAGAACTGAAAAAAACGAATGAGTGAATGAATGAATGAATGGTGGATGAATGAATGGATGAAAGAACGAATAAATTACTGAATGTCATTACTATTTTATTATTTTGTAGATTTATTGGATCATTTTTTAGATGTGCCAAGATTGTCAACAATCCAATCATTGATACTTTTATTCATGATAGATCAAGGAAATTCATCAACATCTTATAGGTTTCAAACATATTCATCATTAGCTGTTAGGATGGCTCAAACTATCGGATTAAACAGGAAAAATAGTCCAATTTATCAATTGGGAAAAAATTGTCATTCAATAAAATTGATTTGGTGGGGTTGCTATATTGTTGATAGATTAAATGGTCTCACAACTGGTGACCCTTTATCAATTAATGACAAAATTTGTGATATAGAATTACCTTTATTAGATGAATCAGATGGTCAAGATAACAATAATAGTGATGTTAGTAATAATAATGATGGTGATGGTGATGGTAATAATAATAATCAACAATCATCGAAAACAACTTCAAGTAATAATAATACAAATCACCAACAACAAAAAAGGCAAATGAATATTTTTGCTAATCTAATCAGATTATCAAGATTAATTGGCCAAATAATTGAACACTTACATTCAATTTCATGTGCTGGCATAACCTCTTCATGGAATCATCATTATATGATTACAAACTTTGAACAATTGCTTTCATCTTGGTCACATGATTTACCTTCTTATTTACAATACAACAATCTTTCACCACTACAGAGTCAGCAACAACAGCAACAGAATAACATATCACCACCATCATCATTACCTGGTCATATTGCTTCTTTACATATTTATTATCAAACTTTATTCTTAATGCTCCATTATCCTTACATTGCTTCACATAACACCAACAACAACAATTATTACTATTATAGCAATCAATCTACAAAAAGATCAAAACTTTATTTGAAATCTTTAAATGTTTGTACTAGCGCTGCTAATGCCATAACTCATATTGCTGGTAAGCTATCATTATTATTGTTATTATTATCAATCAATCATCTCTATTTCCATCCATACCTCAATCTCAATCTTTATAATAAATTTTTATTTTTTTAGTTGAATCACTGAATAATGTTTATACATGCATAACATTTCCAACAATGTTTTATTGTCTAATTAAAGCTTCAAAAATTCATTTGAATAATATTAGCTCTGAGAAATATGGATTGGCTTTATCAGCTTATCATAACATTACAAAAACATTGAATATCTGTCACTTTTATGAACAAAATCACATCATGACTGAATTAGCAACTCAGACCATTAAAATTTTAGAAAATGCTTTATTAATGTGTCAAGATAGATTTACCGCCAACACCAACACTATTGTTAGTATCAATGCTAACAATAATAGCATCAATAGCATTAATAATAATGGATCAAATAATAATAACAACAACAACTATAACAACAATAATAATAACAACAACAATAATAACAACAACAACAGCAGCAATAATAATAATAATAATAATAATAATAATAATAATAATAATAATAATAATAATAATAATAATAATAATAATAGTAACAACAACAACAACAATAATAATAATTCTATAAAAAACCAAACTTATTCAGTAAAGATTTCGCAAAGTCAACAACATTTTAATAGCAATGGTGGTAGTAGTGCTGGTAAAAATAACAGTGGCAACAATTACAACTATAATAACTATAATGGTAATGTTGATAACGATAATAGAATGATGATAAGATCACCAATATCTTCTTCTTCATCGCCGCAACAACATGCAATAGTCACAGTACCTTCATCGCCATCTACATATGAGTCGTATCCAACAAATCAAATTATTCAAGGCAAATCACCAATAATAATAAACAACAACAACAGCAACAGCAACAAAAACAACAGTAATATTATAAACCAAAATTTTAATTTTACTCAAGAATTAGCATCAAGCAATCAAACCCATCAGCATCAAAATCATCATCAACATCAACAACAGTTTATCCCAGTAAACATTGCTACACAAAGTCAAATGTTCGAGACGTTTCCTATACAGCCAATTCAACCTCAAGCTTTGATGACAACATCGGAGGCAACTGGTATCGCTCACACATCTGAAATTTCTCCTTCACATGGGCCACAATTTTGGGGTATGGGTATTAATAATTCAAATGGAATGGGGCTAAGTGGTGTTGGTGGTATCGGTATCAATGTGGTAGGAGGTGGCACAAGTCGAAATGGAAGCAGAAGAATGTATGATGATAATTCCCCATCTTCATCTTCATCTATTCCTACTAATGCTTTTACTACAACCTCACCAACAACGCATTATGTTCATATGACATCTCCTGTCGCAAGTACCACAACTACACCATTACTACCACCATCTTCATCTTCATCTTCATCTTCTACAGATTATTTTGCTTCACAACATCATCATCATCACCATAATACTCAAATACTTCATCCTCAACATCATCACTCACCATCATCAGCAACAACGATGGCAATCAATAACAATTCTAATGATGTTGCTGCTGTTACTACCACAATCACCAGTCCTACTAATAATAATTCTATGATGATGTCATCGGAACCTTTAGGCAATGTTGTTGTTTCACAAAGGTATGCACAATAAATTAATTTTTATTTTATTTTACTTTATTTAATATGATGATGAAGTAATAAATTGAATGAAAGATCAAAATTAGAATGAAACGATAATGTTATTTTATTTATATTATAGATGGAATGAAAAATAATGAAAAAATTAAAAAAGATAATTGGATTTCAGGATTATTGATTAATTATACTTATATGTATATTTAAAATTATTTTGTACAATTCATTTTTTTAAATTCATTATTCATTTTATTTTTTATTTTAAAACTTTAAAATGTAATATTAAAAAATATCACACACTCACACACTCACACTTATACACACACACACACACACATACTTATATACACACACATACACCACACACATAATTTGTCATTCAAAAAAAGAAACAATTTATTCATGCATTTTATATACATACATATATATAAATAAAAAAACATTAATCAATCAATTGCTCCGTGATGTCACAATTAAGAATTCGAATAGATACTAATACTGCAACAAAGAAATTTCAGGACCAAAATTGCTTTTGTTATTGTGATCATGATATTAACTTCTTATTCTTGTGTTTTATTTTCCATAAAATTTTTAATTATTCCATATCCTCTCCTTCATATAAGATAATTGGAGCCTTGATCCAAAAGTATCTTCATTTGTTCCATAGGTGTTTTCCGTAATTACTTCTCTTAATTAATAACATGTACGACATGGGAGAAATTAGAAGGTTTACATACGTGAATGAGATTATCTTGTACGACAAAACATTCTCATTCTAAAAAAATATACTTGACTTATTGCTATTTTATTCGAGCAAATCCAAATATATAACCATGTCTAGCATTGAAGATTTTAAAGTACTATTACCCCATTTGGAAGGTGAGTGGACGAATACTGGCTAAACTTTAAAATGTATATGCTCAATGACCATGCAAGATAAAAAAAAACTCTCTATAGTTTTATTCTATAAGACATAAGGAAAGATGTAATAGGGAGTTTTTTAAATTTTATTAAAATGAAAAGAGTTATATAATGGGTTTACTATTAAAAAAAAAATTTCACCACTGATCATTACTCTATTTAAAGAATATTCTCACGATATAAAAAGTATCACGTGATACTCGTGACTCGTGAAATTCCACTAAAACAGATTCAATGTATTCATAGATTGACTCTTCGATTTCTAATCCAGGTCTAATTCATTAAACACTTCCTTATCAATATATTCATCTGTAATGGATTTAATGGTTTCTTTCATTTTTTTAGTTTCATGAGCTTTTTGTAAATGTTGATTTCTTTTGTTCTGTTTAGGCATTTTTAACAAAAAAAAAAAAAAGAAATCGATTTGAATTAAAAAATTGTTAAAAATCGTGTTCCATAAAAGGAATGATTTTTATAGAAAAATTTTCACCGGTTGGCGTAGCATTTGATGTGTTTAGGTGATTGGCACCACAGTAATACAGTGCAAGACACCTAGTCCCTCAACTTACTGCGCCTTGGCGACAGTTTTTGAGAACCATTTCCAATCAAAAATGCACAAACAGATTGCACATCAAATTTTACAAAGGGAGGGTCATTTAATATTTGTTCTTTGGAATCTGACTTCACAAGTTTTACAATTGAAATTTCAGAACAGACCAAGTTGGTGTTTAATGACATTAATAAGATCGAGGAGGGCAAGTACTGTCAACTGATTCAAAAGAACTTTACATCCATTGATGTAATAGTTGCACCTGACGCGCTCTTCCAGATGACTGTGGGCAAGAGTCATCCCATTAATATGACTGGAATTAGAAAAAACCTTGTTGAAAAAATGGGTGGAAAGTCGGGGACAAATAATATCTATTTTTATTTTGTCATACTGAAAGATTTATATGATAATTACTTTTATACTACGCATTGGAAATTGACTCAAGTTCCTGGTGATAAGTTTACTGTATGGGTTAGCTTATGTGGATTATATCATGTATTACAGACTTGAATAATTTTATTATTGCAAATTTTAACAAGAAGTATCTTTATTGCATGAAAATCATTTTTTTACATGTGGTGTCATGCTTGTAAATTCTTGCCTTTCTTTTGGCTGATCTCGATTTTCATTATTAATTGATGATCCCGTCTATGAAGTGAATTGTACATAGTAAATTAACAATAATAGTTAGTGATCAGTGTGGGAAAATTGACACAAAGATAACCAATCCGACAACTTTACATGAAAAGTTGTATTATGCTTTTGTTCCACCACATAAATTTTTTTTACAATTTATAATGGGGGATGTAGAATTTGGAACTTGGAGGTGAAAACAAGGTAAACGGAATAATGATAACAACAACAATATTATTACTATTACCGAGTAAAAAAAATTTATATTTAAATAGATTTTACATTCCGTTTATTATGAATAGTGCAAAGGTAGCTTTTTTGGTCAACCTCAGTTTATGGCAAGTTTCAAGATTCAATTAAATTCAACTATCATTTTAAACAATTAAATTTTGCATGGAATAAAGATTTTAATATTTATTGTGTGATGAGGAACGTAGAATATTTTTTTATCAATCTTTAATATAAAATTTCCCCTGTATTATAATAAATTGATTAACATTTCTCGGTTCGTCAATTAATCATTGTGGGGACCAATCAAGGATAAGTGTAAGGGTTGGACTCTTTGATCTTTATTGTTACCATTCCGCAATTACATACATATTAATAACACCCCAACAATCTACATAGCGTAAAAAAGACATATTATGTAAAAATAAACATGTATTTATGTAGGTACTCATTCACCAATTATTTCGTAATGAACATGTTGATTGATAGTAATGATGGATAAGGATAATGGATAATGGGCCACAACCATGATCTCGTGTATCAGCAGCCATTTGAATCAAGAATCAATCATCGGATAAATTTAGATCTCAAGTCGAAGCTATTAATTAGGTGCATGAATTTTCATTAAAAACTAATGCAAAAACATGTTTTCTTGTCATAAACAAATGTTCAGAAGGTCCGAAATATGTTTTATTATTGTTGTTAATTTTCTACAATTAGTTTTTTAAGCAATTTCATAATTTGGGTTTTTCTTATCCGGCGAATGTAGAATAACAACAATAATAGTAATTAGGCATCTGAGAGCTATGTGAATTCTATCATTTCTATTAATAATACGTGTTAATTATTTAAAATTAATTGTGGCTATGATCTATGAAAACCTGTTTACCTTTCCCACAAGTTTATAATATAAATGAATGAAAGATGCTCTCTCTTCTCTTCTACTCTTTTCTTTCCTCTCTTCTCTACAAATTTAAAATTTAACAAATGGAAACCCTTTGCCGTACGACTCTTAAAAGAAAAAATTGCAGATCTGATTAACAACAAAAATATGTGACACGACGAGTTATTTGCATCCCTATTTGTCGAGAATTTTTTTTTTGAAATATTTGGCGTTACGCAAAATCTTTAAAAAATGCAAGATGTTAGTATTAGTGAAGAATTGAGAAGACGTAAATCATTCCTTCAAATAGCAGGTACAGCTTGTAATAATTGTCGAAAAACTGGCGAAGAAGCAGGTGTTAAAGGTCTTTTACGTTGTACTCGCTGTAGAATGTTTTATTATTGTTCAAAAGAATGCCAGAAAATTGATTTTAGTTTTCATAAACGTTTTTGTCAAGCAATATCTGATTTAAGTGATGTTGAAGAAGCGTGGTATTCTTGCAATGGAGAGCAGGAATCATGGAATAAACGTAAGCTTTATCAGATGCAACTTTTATCCGATATACTTGATAGGGATTTAGATGATTATGAGAGAAATGCTTGGTTAAATCAACCAAAATGTTCAGTTTGTTTTATTTCTACAAGAGAGACCAATGAGTCTTTAATAGCTTGTCCTTCTTGTAAAGTGGTTTTATGTTGCTCTAAAGAACATTGGATTGTGTATAAGCAAAAACATTCTAAATTATGTAAAACTTATCAAAACATGGTAGAATGTGAGAAAATCCGTTATTTGAATGGTGATAGTGTTTTGTGGGTACCGGAAGATTGGGATGAAGAAAGGAAATTTCCGCCATTACCAAAAAACTGGAATGAATATCTCCAGTGGAGAAATGCACCAAATTCATCAGATAAGAATTCATATAGTCGTGTTGTAACCAACTCGCTTTCAATGCCGCTTACAATTCTTTCAGCATTTGAAAGATTTTATAATCGTGATCAATTGATCTCTTTTGAAGAGTTATCAATTCATGTTATTGGAGCAAATTTTACAGAAGTTGTGGCATTAATGACTTTTGAGGAAATAATGCATGTATTACCAAACATCAAAATTTTACATATTGTGTTGATTGGCACAGAACTTCAAATGAATAAGGATAACACGGATTTAACATGTTGTCCAAAATGTACTGATTCTAATAGGAAACGGTTATGTTCCATGAAATCAATACTATATCATGATTATGTTGGATCATCTGATTATGCTATACCAAATTTGGGGGTAGCATTTAACACAGGACTTCATGAGGAAGATACTGATCTCTGGAAACCAACAATTGAATGTTTATTGGAAAAAAATTTACCTTGTGTTTTTACTTCATATTCTAAGGAAGAAGCATCAGAAGATATTAAAGTCTTAAAAAGTTTAGGAGCAAAGATAATTTCTGGAGCAAAGGAAAATAAATGGAGAAGTACAATGCCAATAGTTGAACCTAATGTCCTAGATAAATTCTTTTATAATAATTTTTATAGAACTTTTTTTCAAGGCAAAATGGTAGACAATCAATAAATGCTATAAAAAAATATATATTATATTATAATCCTTAATCACATAAAAAAATTTGTTTATTAAAATTTGTATTATTTAATTTGTATATTTAATTAAAATGGGACATACTGCAACAAAGTGAACATTTTAATTTGTATTGCCATTTTTTTAACTAAATAAATCAATTCATTTATTGTTTAGGAGAAAATTTGTGATTATTATGACTAGTATTTTAATAAAGAAAAAGAAAATATACAGAGGATTATTCTTTTATGTAAAGTAATAATAATAATGATTGTCATAATTCTTTGTCTCATGAAAATAAATGTCATGTGTAAGGTTGCTTGCCGAAACTCCTCCAGAAATCAATCAGCAGGGTTTCGGCAGGTTACACATTAATTTTTTATTAGAGTTTCAGCAGAGTTTCGCATTTTGAGGTTTCGCCATTTCGGCATAGTTTCAACAGGATTTTTGATAAGATTTAATATATTTTTGCCATGGTTTCAGTAATTACTAAGGAGGTTTCGCCCACAACCTTAGTCATGTGTCACGAGTTGTGAACATTCTTGTCGATCACATTTGATTGGTTAAAAATTTGTCCCCGAGATATCACGTAAAGATTGATTTTTAATTTAACAACTCAATTCAAATCAGTGCAACATACTTTGTAACAATTTAGAAAAGATTGGCAATATTTTGGTAATATTTACATATATAGAAAGAATTGGCAACGATACTATCTCTCTTTGGAAATTTTCGTTTCACAAAATTGATTGCGTTGTATAAATCTTTTGATCATTGATTTGATCATGATCACTCTCCCAATTTTTTTTAAAACGTTCAAAGGTTGTAAAAAAAAAAATGAAAAAGAAATCATTTGATTAAAATTGAGCCTTTTCCAAAAATGTGAAATTAATTAAGCTTTTTTTGAAAAAGAATCTCTCCTGCTACTAAAAATACCAGCAAGAAATTAATCCATTATTGATTTAGTATTAGCATCGCCACTAGAAAATCAATTTGGAATTAATTCATTTATTATTTAAAAAAAATATTTAATTTAACACAAGTAAGAAACAAAGCTACTCAAGTTGTTTTGCAAGTAAACCAAAGCAAGTTTGCAATCATCCAATAAATGAAAGGCCATCTTTATTTATCTGGTACCATTAAGTGTTCCCACAAATTTGTCTAGGCACAAGAAAGAAGGAACCAAAATAAATTTGTAACTAATTAATTGAATTATTGCGAGTTGCCTGCAATGAACTGACAAGAATAGCCAAAAGTTAAGCATACTTGTAAATAATCGGTATTAACTGAAATGATACCTCGTAATATCACCATTAACGAGAATCAAAAAACTGTGAAAGTTTATTACTTAAAATAATTTAACTAAGAAATAAAAATAAAAGATAAAATAAAAAGACAATAATTATAATGAATAATTTAGGAGATTGGATTAGTCATTCATCAATTCTTTCTTTTAATTGTTTAAAAAATAATTTTTAGTAATAATTAATGGATAGTAAGTTCCAATTAATTAATTAATAATAAAAATTTTATTTGCCTTCAACATTTAAGAGAAAAGAGTTAAAATCAAGACTATTTAATGAACTATCATTACTTGTATAAAATTTCAAGCTTTTTGATTTAGCAATCTCTTCATCTAATATTCTACTTTTATGATATGCACCTGGATGCAATTCATGTATTTGTTGCAAATCACTAATACTACTGATATTACTATTATCATTATTATCAAGAATTTCTTTTAGTTTATTGTTAGAAAATTCATAAAGTTCTTCAATAGTTGGTCTTTTAGATGGATCCACATCCCAACACTTCTGCATCATCTGCAAATAATCATCAGGCATTCCAGGTAATATTGGTGGCCGTAAACCTTCACACACATCAAAAATTAAATGATGATTATGACCTCTATCATCAAATGGTGGATGGCCCACAAATATTTCCCACATAAGCATCCCAACACTATAAATATCTGTTTCTTTTGTGTTCTTTACATTAATTTTGCCTCTAAGTAGCTCAGGTGCAACATATGATATAATTCCATAAATTTTATTTGATGATTTTTCATCAA